AAACGGCACGGCAGATCTTCTGACACATCGGTGAATCAACAGGTGATTGAACACACGGAGGCCATGGGGTACTCTTTGGCTTCTTCATACGTCACCCTCAGCCCCGACGTCGTTCACACGAGTGTGCGCATGCTCGTTCATAACTTCACGTTTCGGCGTGTGCGGCGAACAGCGTTAGAGGTGGGCGACGAATTGGCATTGTCAGGGGAGGGCGACGAGAAGGAGAAGGAGGTCATTGAAACCCACGAGAACATTCTCTCGATGCGCGTCGGTCCACAGAAAAAATCGCTCTATGAGGAGCGTTCCCTGCCACCGAACAGCACTAAGGCATCCGACATATGGAGAGCGCATTAAACCAGCTAGAACAACACAATGGCAACACGAGCACCCGCCACAGCCACAACTTTTTCCGGTCACTTCACCGTCTTCTTAAACTTCTATCCGCTCTCTCTCTCTGTTTCCCCTGATTGGCTTTTAGTAACGCTCTGCTGCAAATTGAATTACACACACAAGGACGTAAACAAAAAAAAAAATAAAAATAAAAGGAAACAACAACATCAGCAAGAAGGGCAGAAAAACAAAATGAACAAAAGGAAAAGTCTCAATTGACATCAACCTGAAAATACACTTCGGGCGCAATTATAATTACTTATGAAATGCTTGCTGCCGTGGGGCTGTTGCCGGTTGTGGCTGCCACGGTAACGTACGAGCCGCGCTGCCACGTGACCAAACGTATCAAAGGCTCCACCGGGTCTTTTGGTGGAACCATCGCGAACGTGGTCCACTCGTATGAATTGGTGTGGGGCAACATGGACTGGCGCCAGCTTGCTTCGACAGACCACGAGTGAGCGGGCATGTCAACATTTACCAGCGCCACGGGGGACCGCAGACCACGGGGGGCATACGGCGTGCTTGCATCTGTTTGAGCTCTGGCGAGCGCCACGCCGCACACATACCCGTAGGTGCTCGTTGCTTTGTTGGACCTGACAACTTTTCCTTCTTCAGGCACGACAGTTTCTGTCGCAGTGGTTGCGATTTTTCTTGCGTGTTTATCCGTTCTTCTCCCGGCAGCCCGAAGCAAATTGTGGCATATGCGGACGGCGTCGTGAATTATTTGTGTTTTGAAAGGTTTTAAAAAACAACGGGAGAGGCAAAAAGAGGTCTGAAATGCAAGTTAAAGGCCACGCATATATATGTAAGGAAATTTTTGGTGGTTGAATTTGCTTGATCCCACGCCGTTCACACAGCCAGTGGGAAAGGCGTTCATTGGCGGATTGATGTCGTCTCCGTTGCGCAACATATGGGGCGCTGTGAGGAGGGGACGTTACTTTTTTATTAGTGAGGAAACACAATGATATTTTGCATGAATAAGCAGGCTATGAGTGAGTTTGAAGCCAGTGGCATGCTCTCTGAGAGCCCATAGCTACTCCGCAGCCGCACTGTGCCTGAACGGTAAGGGCACGCACACACTCACACACACATACGCAAACATACAAAAAAAACAACAACGAAATACTACATTGACGATCCTGTGGCCCACCGTAAGTGATGATGACGTTTATTGTTTTGTAAATTTCTTTCATGACCTTTTGTTCAATGCTAGGAATTTTGTTCTTTCCAACTTTTTAGATACTTTAAGAAAGGAATAAAACAAGCACTACTCGCCACTGCGAATTTTGAAGGCACTGAAAGGACCAACAACAGCACACACATTGCCCACACACACGTATTAGTATGCTCTCACGTGTTGCTGCAATGAAGGCACCCTGCACACACAACCGTCGCCGCGTGACCGGATCCAGCGGAAGGAGGGAAGGAAGAGAAAGTGAGCAGCAAAGGCCCAACATGTCACGGCGTGTGTTTAATTCCACGGTGCTGCTTCTCCTTGTCGTGATGTGGATTTACTGCAACATTGGTGGAGCTGCAGCCGTTGTGGAGGGTAAGTCCGGGGATGCGCCGCTGCCTCAATGGGTCGATATTTTTGTGCCGAATAAGACGCAGGTGCTGTCCAAAGAGGGGTCTGAAACTGGTGTGAAGGAAGCATTTGCTGCGCCTTCTCTCGTCAGTGCTGGTGGAGTAATGGCTGCCTTTGCTGAAGGCCTGTTCGTTTATATCGTCCATGGACATGACTTGTTTGGGATTAAGCCTTACGAAATTGTGGCCGGGTACATCAAGGCTGCGGAGAAGTGGCCGTCCATTGTCGCTGAGGTCAATGCTGGTACATGGAGGGCACACACCGTTCTTGGCAGTAGGAATAGCGATGATCGTTTGTGTTATTTGTACGGGCCCACAGCAGTTGCAAGGGGCAGTAAGGTGTTTCTACTTGTGGGAAGCGATAATACAAGATATGACAATGTTGATAATGCGTGGGTGCAAGATGGCTGGGATATTCAACTGGTGGAGGGTGTGGCCACGCAGTCCAAGGACGGCGCGCAGAGTACAATGATCAGCTGGGCTGAACCCAAGTCGCTTTTAAAACAGATACCCCAACACACTCAAGATCAGCTGAGGGGTTTTGTGACTGCTGGTGGCTCAGGCATTGTGATGCAGAATGACACGCTTGTGTTTCCCCTGGCGGCGAATGGGGAAAAATACCCCTTCTCCATGATCACCTACTCGACGGACAACGGCAATACCTGGGTGTTCCCAGAGAGCATTTCTCCTGTAGGATGCACTGACCCCCGCATCACCGAATGGGAGACGGGACAAATTCTCATGATCGTTCAGTGTATGGATGCCCAGAGTGTGTTCGAGTCGCGTGACATGGGGACAACGTGGACGGAGGCCGTCGGGAAACTTTCAGGCGTGTGGATCATGTCACAACCAGGAGTTCGTCTATACAAAATTTTTCGTGTGGGAGCCCTCATCACCGCCACCATTGAGGGATGGAAGGTCATGCTGTACACACAGAGAGGGTACACCTCGGGGGAGAAAGAGGCCAATGCGCTCTACATTTGGGTCACGGACAACAACCGTACGTTTTATGTTGGACCGGTTGGCATGGAGGATAATGTGAATAAGACGCTTGCCAACGCCCTGCTGTACTCAGATGGTGCGTTGCACCTTTTAAAAGAGAGGGCCAATGAAAAAGACGAGGCCATTTCACTTGCTCGGCTGACGGAGGAGCTGAATACGATCAGGTCCGTCCTCAGTACTTGGGCAAAGCTTGACGCCTCCTTTTCCAAGTCGTCCACACCCACGGCTGGTCTGGTTGGATTCCTGTCCAATGCAGCCAGTGGTGACACGTGGATCGACGATTACCTTTGCGTGAATGCAACCGTGACGAAGGCAACGAAGGTTGAAAATGGGTTCAAATTCACGGGGCCTGGGTCCATGGCAACATGGCCCGTGAACAGCCGGGAGGATAATAATCAGTACGGCTTTGTGAACCACGATTTCACTATTGTGGCGACGGTGATCGTCCACCAGGTTCCGAAGGAGAGCACTCCTCTGCTGGGTGCGGGTCTGGGGGACGGTGCCGGCAAGAAGTTCATTGGGCTGTCGTACAGCATGGATAAAACGTGGGAGACAGTGTTTGACGGGGCAACAAAAGCACAGGACACCACGTGGGAGCCGGGGAGTGAATACCAGGTGGCGCTGATGCTGCAGGACGGCAACAGGGGCTCCGTGTACGTGAATGGTGAGCTTGTGGGGAGCCCGGAAACGATACCAACACCTGAGGCGCGTGGGGCTGAAATCTTATACTTCTACTTTGGGGGAGACGAGGGAGACAGCGACAGCAATGCGACAGTGACGAACGTCTTTTTGTACAACCGCCCACTGAGTGACGGTGAACTAAAACTGGTCAAGAAGAGCGAGGACTCCGTGCGTGGGGGCGTGTCTCGGGTGCTCCCGCTGTTTCTGCTGGGGCTGTGGGGCATTGCGGCCCTTTACTGAGAAATCGCAGTGAGGACTTCCTGCTTCCAGCGGGAACAATATGCGTCTTTCCACGCACCCTCCGAAGTAATTGACTTTTTGCGTGGACGCACCGTTTATTATATATATATATATTTGACTACCCCTTTCTGCCCGCGTAAGTTTTTATGTAAAGTCACGCTTTCCCTCCTGGGAATTCACCGCGGGGTATATGGTTTTTTTTTTTTGTATATTTGTTTTTTCTTTTTTATATGGTGGGATATTTTGGGAATGGCAGGATGTCTTTAATGTTTCCGTTGGCCGATGAAACGTGCAGTGGGCATTGAGCACCACGACGATGGTGCGACGAGAAAAAGGGAGGTTAGATGTAAAAAAAACGCACTGAGTGTCCCAATGAAAAGTAAGAGTTGTGTGGACACCAGGGGGGTGGCTGAACGGTCGAAGCAAATATATTTTCACTTCTGCATGAAGAGTATACAAGTCTTTTTTTTTTTGTTTTTCTTGACGCGTCACGATGGGAATTTTTTTTTTGTTTTATGTTTTAATGGGTGGGCAAAATTTGTCGAGAGGGGTTTTAGAAAATTTCTAACTTATTTTTATTTTAGGAAAATTATTGTGGGTTGCCGTGCCATCTCGAGCCTTATTGGCCTTCTCCCTCCCTCTTTGTCCGTCCTGCGCCTCTACCGCGTGTTTTTCTGCCCTTTCACGTGCGTGGCTCTCTTTTTTTTTCTTTTTTCTTTTTTCTTTTTTTGCGTGTCTGCAGGCACACAACCGCACGGCGTACATTTTGCGGTGCACTGGGTGCTTGCAGCTGCGTGTGGCTGCTGCTTCATCACTCCGTGGACATGAAGAGAAGGAAAGAAGAGACAGTGGGAGTGCGTCGTGGCTCTCATCCCCTGCGGGAATGCTGCACGGCGTGTGGCGGTATTGCTTTTAAACGCCGAACCATCACGCACGAGGACGTGGCACGGAGTGGAAGGTCTTTTTTTGTGTGGCTGCTGCTGTGGGTGTGGGCGCGGTCGCGTCGGACTTGTCGGCTCGATGGCCGCAGCGTGTGGCTGTCACTCTGTTCTCTTGGGAGATATGCCGCGACGCCTTCCCGTGTGTGTTGCTTCGGGGACAATGTGCCGGCGGCTGTGCGGTTGCCGGATGGAGGGAGAGGCGTGGAGGGAAGTGCGTGAGTGCAGCGGTCAAGAGTCGCGCTGGGCGTCTCGCCGCGGAGGGCCTTGCCCACCCAACGCAGCACCGCTCGTGCCGGGCACCCTCTCACTATGCAGCATCGTAGTCGACGCCAGCAGCACGCAGCGAGGCAGCGGATGCCACCACCGCCACGAGTGCGACCGGAAGGAGACACGCCTGATGTTGCGTTCCGAGGGGGCACTCCGTGTGGCATAGTGGCGTGCCCAAAACCTCCTCGCGGAGTCTGCACACGACACCGGGCACTGGATGTGGGGTGTTTGCGTCGTGGAGGACACTGCGGTGGAGTCCCTCCTCCCTGCAGGTGGACGGACGCCTGAGTTTCCTTTTGTTCTTACTCAGGTGGATGGCTGCGCGATGACACCACAACGAGGCAGTTGTTTTCACCATGGAGGGGTGATATCAGCAGGGTTACGCATTGGGAATGTGAATGGCGAATGCAGTAAGAAAGGGAGTTTCATGGCTCTTTTTTGCCGCGCGAATTGCAGAAATTTTCCATAAAAAATATATACATATATATATACCTTGTGTGGGAGCTTTTCATGATGCATCGCTGTTGTGGCGTGTGTGATTTGGGGTGTCTGCGTGTGGCCGCTGCTGCACCGAATTCTCTTCCCACTTGTGTGTGTGTGTTTTCGTGTGTCATGGTTTATGCACGCATTTATTTATGTGGAGTGTGTGCGGTGACGGCAGTGCCACACGGGTGCGAGACCGTAGCGAGCGGAGTGCGTGGACGAACCCTCCGTGCGCACCACGTTGTTGTTGTTGTTGGCTCTCACCGAGACTCTTCTGGGTGAATGGTATCCACTTGCCGTCGTTGCGGTGGTCCTCGTGCATGTGGTGTGCATCGAACACTGTGTGGATGACTCTCTTGCTGTGGATGACTCGCTTGTTTTGGCTGCCAGTCGTTTCTGTGACTATTTTCTTTTTTATTCCTCTCTCGTTTGTTGGTTAATGTTCAGCTTTAACTCAATCCAACCAAGAAAACAATGAGAAACTATGCCTGCAAAGCAAAATAGAGTGCAAGGTGGCAATGCCAAGAGTCGAGCGTCTGCTGTGCCGCAGGGAGATCGTCAGAGGAGAGCGAGACCGGTGTCCTGCAGCGACACATCAACCGGCCGCGACTCACACAAGAGAGGGGGAAGCGCGGCGACCACAGTGGACCACTAGCAGCACCGTAGAGGAAATCCTGCAGGAGGGAAACACTAGCAGCACCAACATGAGGCTGAATGAATTCCTTTGGAATTATGTTGGCGGCAGGGCGGCCGTTGATGAAAGAATGCAATGTGACGATGGAGATGTTTGTTCAGGAGCCGGATGATTACGTACAAGACCAGCGGCTTCCTGAAGAAATTCTTAACTTAACTGCGTACCAAGCGCTGGAGGCCATTACTAACCCACTTCACGAAGGTGTGTTCTCTCTCGGGCAACGTAGGGACTATGAACGAAAAGGATACGATCACTCCTCTTGCAAGGGGAAAACCAAACGGAGTACTCACGCAGGTACTGACAGAAGCGAGGCGGGAGGCAGAGGAAAGGCTAAGACGAACGCAAGAAATGAAATTTACCATTTCCACTAATATCGAAGACGTACTGTTTAAAGGAAGAGTTCGCGTCAATGAAATGAAGCTGAACGACTTTCTTACGAGGGAACTGGACGGCAGGGGCATTGTGGACACCAAT